GCTGTCGGCAGCAATACACTTTGTCCAAGATTTCTAAGAACAAAAATGCCGTGGTAACAGTAGCTGACATCACAATGATTTTATAAGAAATTACTAAGGACATGATCCACATCATAGTAATTAGTGAATCGGTTATCTTTCAAGAAATTTTCGAAATAGTGAACTCTATGCAAGTCTGAGAAAGCTGCCAATCAGAAAGCTAAGTGCACCTCATTTCTCAAGTTAATGAACGGTCTTCTAGCTGAATGAATGCATTTAAAAGATAAATTTCTACAGAAGCAAACATCTTTTCTCATAACAAGTCGAAATAAATATCTTCAAGGTGCTTATTAATTTCAGATCGCTGATTACGCAGCCTGTCAAAATGGAAAGTATTATTACTTAAAGGAAATAGTAATATTTGTCAGAAGCCTTGTGGGTGAACTATCTATTGAAATAAACTCACTGCTAGTATTTGAGTAATTCAGTCGCTGCTTTTTAAGGTATTTTCTTCCTCCTTACCGGTGGGCTCGTTATGTAATTGAAAACATGTTCGGCTGTCTGTGATTACGGTCGGAAGGTCCGGTCTTCAAATTCCGGCTAAGGTACTGCACACTTTTCTTGTCTCCTGCATTAAAAAAAATCTAATGGCTCCATAGCTTTAGTAAATAAGAGAAAAAGTCTTCAAATTGTATTGGTTTAAGTTTAAATAATTCGTATACTTACCCCAAAATAAAAATTCCTGGGATATAAAATATCCCTTACATTTTAGGATGAGTTTTAAGAATTAGAAGTGTAGGTGGACATTTGATGAGTATATGGTTCCGATCAGAATTCATTTGTTTCAGATTAGAATGAAAGGCAAACTATCTAACTAAATGCAGTATTTTATTATTGAATAGTAAGAAAATTTTGTTTTAATTAATTATACTTTATTAATCGTTTACTTTCAGACAAACCAGAAACAAGAATTGGGAGAACAAGAATTGCATTGAAAAACTCAACTAGACGAGACATAGTTATACAATTTATACAGACTATTACGAAATGTACAGGCGTGGTAAGATAGCATCCCCGCAAAGCAGTTTTAGGGTTGCCATAAATGGCAAGAGAAGGCAAAGTTGCCACATTTGGCGAGAAATCGCCCATTTGGTGACATTTGGCAACAAAATTGGCGATATACCATGGACGGATGAAGAACCTGGTACGCGGAGAGTTAGCTAGTATCGAGTTTACCTCGTCGAGAGGGCAAGTGTGTGTGCCTCGTCTAGAGTGCGAGTTAGTTAGTATCGAGTTAGTGTGTCTCGTCTAGCGAGTCAATTCCTGCGGAGTCGATCGAGTTGACAGCCGGCCAGCGAGTGCCGAGTGGGTCGTCGAGTGCACCGAAAGAGTCTCGTAGTGTATCGCAGTTAGTGCATCGTCGAGAGAGCGGGTTGAGCTCCAGGAACGACTGAACCAAAGAGATGGGAGCCGTGCTCTGTGTGTCGTCGAATGCATCGCGAGTTGTAGCGTGGAGAGTCTCGAGAGTACGTGGAGTTCCGAGAACAGCAGAGTCGGGAGCTGTACTCTGGTGCTTTGCAGTGAAGCTGTCTCCATCGTTATTGCTTAACAATGGGAAGGCTGTGTCGCTGATTGTTCCAGCGTGTTTATAGATCTTCGAAGACTGTAAAAAGTGTTATTGGAGCTTTCCTGGCAATACTGGCCAACAAAGTGTGTTTCGATACTTTATCAAGTTTCGTCGTTATTCACTCAGAATCTACGAACCCCGTACGAACGTGAAGGAAGAAAATAACGTAACAACTGGTGTTAGAAGAGAAAAACGCAACAATGTGATTATTACTTGTGTGGTTTGTTTAGAATTTAAACTGTGTAATTGTTTAATGTAGTATTAATAATTAAATCCTTTCCTTTCACGCTGCAATTTCGTTCATTAAAATACCCGTTTATAAGACCCTGCCAAAGTTTTGGGAGAGAGGTATGTAAGAAAAGGAGATATTATTTTCGATTCAGTAACGCAATTTTTTTTTTTTTTTTTTTTTACTTTTGCTTTTTTATTTTGACCATTTCGCTGATTTTCAGCATAAGATTTGTAACTCTTGTAAAATTGTATTTGTAAGCTCTATATCTTTAACTTTTTGGGAAATAATTCTTATATTAATAAGACTACCATGGCTGTAGAGATGCTTAAGATATTAAATTGAAATTAGCATACCAAAATCAGATTTCAATTTCTTTTTAATAACTTTAAAATTTTAAAATTTGTGAGCATTTTTTTAAACTTTACAAAGCAATTATCTTAAAATATTCCAGGACTGTAGAATCGCAATGAGACTGTAATTTCATATCGCAATCAGATTGTAATCTGAAGTTTTCATATTGAAATTTATTTATTTATTTACTGATCTTTATTGACACACAGAATATTACATCATATACAGGGTGTATCAGTACAGCGGTAACAAACTTTCAGGAGAGATAGAGTACACCTAGACAAATGGAGGTCACATAGCAATGTATGGTCGGAAACGATTTCCTGGCGCGGTAGTGACGACACAAACCGCAAAAAAGAAAGGACACAGACAGTGAGACAAAACATGTTTTATTATGTTTAGCATAGCAGAAACCTACAAATAAGAACAAAAACAAACAATGATGATCATTAAAGAAAGTGTTCGAAATTACGACTCCTGACCGTGATGCAGGCTTCTGGCGCATGGAAGAAGTTATTGTTATTGTAATAAGGTTATGAGGTATTTCTCCCGCTTTCCTAGCGTGTCTTTGTGGTGTAGTGGTTCTGCACACTGGGCCGGTATTCCAGAGGTCCGCGGTTCGATTCCCGACGAAGGCGTTGTTAATTTTTCATCTTTCCTGCTTCCAAAAAGTACATAATGTCTCTACAAGGTTAATTACTGTTTTTTCTTTTATTAATTCCATTTTGGTATTTTTTTCATACTCTAATCTCATGCATCTTTGATGCACGGGTGCCAAAGATGCATAATCAAGTGCCTTTGCAATAAAAAAAATTTCATATATATTTCTTCTTTATTATTCTATGATTAAAAAAATAATCTGTAGAGACATTAGAATTTTTTTTTTTTGGAAGAAGGAAAGGAAAAATTAGCAACCGCCTTCGCCGGGAATCGAACGGACCTCTGGAATACAGGCCCAGCGTGCAAACCACTATATCACGAAGGCACGCTAGGAAGGCGGGAGATATGCCTTATATACATTCCTTTTTAAAGGACGACTGGGGTTTTTAGGGGACCCAAACGTGAAATCCTGGGTGTGGAGAAACCTCATCCAACACCCTTTTAGTTCGGGCGCCACTGTAGAGACATTTGGATTTTTTTTGAGGCCGGAGAGATGAAAAATTAGCAACCGCCTTCGCCGGGAATCGAACCATGGACCTCTGGATACCGGCCCAGCGTGCAGAACCACTACACCAAGAAGGCACGCTAAGAAAGTCTGTAAAATACCTTATAAATCAATTTTCAAATGACACGAAAAACGAAAATATAATGGCTTGCACTGACTAAATGAACTGTACAGCCGAGAAAGCATTCGCCAAGGACGCGTCAACTAAACATAATTGTTACGAAAAGACTGATTATAAAAAATTCTGGGAAGGAAGCAAGTCACTTCTGAAGAGCTATACCATAAGGTACTGTCTAGAGGTCGAGTGATAAAGTCGCTGAACACTGGTAATTCGAACTGGTATCGTTTTCATGGCTTTCTGCATGTGTAACGTGGATACGAGTAAGTTTACATTAGAAAGTCAGCCACGAAGGAATTCCTCCCCTTAACTATTTCTTTGCCATAATCAATAAATTAAAACCAAACCTAAAATATTGTCTACTCCGAAGCGCATCCGAAGAAAAGACTCAGTCAATGTACGCGTGTTGGCTTTCACGATGCTGAACTGGCTCGGCAACCAACCCCAGTGCATCATCCTGACTCTTAAGAAAAGACTTATCTTTAGACCTTAAGAAAAGACCTTTCCCAAACTTGAAAAATACATATATATTATTTAAATTTACATTAACTTTAAAGTTGCTTTTTACGAATAGAGAATGTTTGTTAAATTCATAATTTAAATTTACATTATTTTTTAACGTATTTTATAAATTAAGCAAGAAAAAGTGTAGGAAATATTGATAAATACCAACACTTTGTAGAGTCATTAGATATTTTGAAGCAGGAGTCTTGAAAAATGAGCAATGCCCTCGCCGGGACCACGGACTTCTCGAATACGCATAGAGCGTGCTGCCCACTACACCACCAAGGCACGCTAAGAAGGCCGGAGAAATACCTTATATACTCCCCCTTTTAAAGGCCAAGGGGACCCAATCGCCAAATTTTGGGTGTGGAAAATCATCATCCACCCTTTTAGTTCGGGCGCCACTGTAATGACATTAGGTATTTCTTGGAAGCAGGAGGGATGATAAATGAGCAACGCCCCCTCCGGGAATCAAACTACGGACTTCTGGAATACGCGCCCAGCGTGCAGACCAGTACACCACGAAGGCACGCTAAGAATTCGGGAGGACCTTATATACTGTATCTGCAGCATAAGAGGAACTAAAAATACTAGGCGAGTCGAAGAAAGGCCTCTCAAGTTGTAAGGTGATAGGGGAAGAGGGGTGGGAAAAAAACCTCGAACGCGTGCTCCGCAATGCTGCCCATCAGAATTAGGGCGGAGTTGGGTAAAGTAGTACTATCACCTATATGATGCTCAATGTCATGACAATGACACACACAATCTTGTTTTTCTTGGCAATATAAAATTTCTAGATCTGTTCTGATTAGGTCAGATAAGTGAGATTAACAACAACGAAGACTTATCGTAGTATAGTATACGGAATTCTGTTTTTAGCAACTTATCGCAGCTAATTATATTTAATATAAATTTCCAAAATACAAAGCCTTCTTTCGAAAAATGTAATACTTAGAAGGGGAGAGCATCAGAGCACTTCATGACAGATACTAATTCTTATCGTTCTCAGAAGATAAACAGTTGAGGGGAAGAGTGTTTTTCTCATCCTCTGACGTGCATACATTGCAGATTAGCAGCAGATTTAGAAGTGGAAAACCCTTTTATAACAGCTTCTAGAAGTTACTACTCAGTTTGCAGTTGTTTAGCGTGTACTTGTTTCATTATCCCTTTTGAAAATATGACGAGGTAAGCTTGTATTATTTAGCATCATCGTACTCCACCTCTTCAACAATTCACACAAATATAAAATCAATGAATACTGAAGATGTTATTAACTACTTTATTTTCCCATTTTATACATATTTCTCTACTGGCACAATGTTTTTTCTAATGCAGAAAGCTCATGTCATAAGTTAATAGTTCAACTTTTATAAATTAAGAAAAACATACCTTTGGGTTAGTTTAAGTAGTCTCAGTTTAGAAATGATTCAATAGCTTTTAAACAGAAAGCATACCTTTGAAATAGACATACATATATTGAAAACGTAATTTTTGTGGTAATTTGTTTGAAGTATATATTATGTATGAATCATTTTCTCAGAAACGTACTGCAAGATATGCGTTTTTTCTGTGTTTGGTAATTTAATCTAATAAATTGTCCGGAAAAGATAAATTCTGGAAGAATGAAAGTAATCTCTTTAATATTTTAATCTACATATTTCCTTTTCTGTCTTCGGTAGCAAGTTTTAAATAATGATACAGATACTATCCTGTAAATTTCTTGAAGTCAGTTTTAATTATCTTTTTTTAAGAAAATAATGAAGCTGCTCAAGTCTATTAGGTTAATTTGGATTGTTAATATTCTTCGCTTTCATCTTATACACTGTTGGATTATCAGTGAATTATGTGATGGCTCTGTATTCAGATTATGGCTCCTGTTTTTTAGCGTTACTACAAATAGCATAGCCAGTTTTCCAAATTTAATTAAAAAGGGTTCTGTAAATAAAACTCAGCTCAGTCAAACATTTCATGTATTCAATTGAAATATACATGAATGAAGTCTTGTTATCTTGGTATAATCTGAGGAGTCGAATATATTTTTAAAAGTATCATTTACAATTTTTATGAAAGTGTTTGTAGTTATGCTACACTGAAAAAGTGCAATTTATTTTCAGCTACGTTCCCGTGAGACTGGCATATAAAACAGTTGAACCTGTTACCGGCGCCGGAGATAAATCGCCGATTATTTTCTTACATGCGTGTACACTTTCCAGCGATGCTTGGGGTGATATCCCCCAAAAACTTGCCAACGAAACGAAAAGAAAGGTAAGAAAATTATTTTAAGTTCGTGAATTATAAGAATCATTGTAATCACTTCATTAATTATTTTTTAGAAAAAATGGTAATGGTGCTTGCGTAGTTAGTAATTTCTGTATTGCCAATGTTCTGGCAATACTTTCCGATGACATCATTACTTCTACGTTTGAGAATATCTTGGCGTAATAACACTTGAGCTGGATTTCTGGGGAACGTTTTCCCTGAGTGCGAGTTACAGTGACGTGTTGAAATTTTCCTTTTTTTCTTTCAGTAAAGCAACAAAAAATTTTCAGGTAGCTTCCTACAGATGACCTTCCTGTTTCACGGAATAGCATCTTTAGAGATCTATTGTTATCAGAAGCAATCAGTGCTTAGTTGATGTAAAGAGCTGGGTTTATGAATTTAGAACAAAAAGCAAAGCACACTGCGTCTCGACTCAGCTGTAAAGCGATTTTCTGTCCGTAAAGTGTAATTTCATTACATTCTGTTCCTTTCACATTGAAAGAAATATTTCCTTCGTAACTACGTGCGCTATTTCAATGTTAAGAGCATTCCGCTTTAAAAATACATAGATTGTTTTATGCTTCAATGCATCGATAAAACAGATAATATTCATTTTGTTTCGCTCTTTACATTTGTTTTAATTACTTGTACGGATAATTATTTAAACAATAGCTTTTCTATGAGCATGGCTGCAATATGCAGCAGATGTGGATGTTTTGCTTAAAACCTTCCTTTCCTATTTGCGAAAACTAATTTGTCTCATGCGTTCCGAATTTACTTTCTGCAGAGAATGAATACATAATGGACATGAAGTAATGAAATGATAATACTTTTAATATGAATGGTTTTTAATCAAAAATTCATTTATTGGTAACCTCCATACTCGACATTAATACACTTTTACGCAATTAGCATACTGGAAAAATTTATTATTATTCTTTTTCAAAAATTCTGCATCTTTTATATTAAATCTACTCAACTATAGTGTCGTAAGAAATGCAATCTCATAGTAATCTCATAGTACACGTGCAAACTCATAGTACACGTGCTGCTCATTTCATTAATAATAATAGACTTTTCGTTTCCACAATCAAAATGCAAAAAAAGCAGTATGAAGATGTACTCTCGAGGCCAAGGCATTCTTAATCACAGACGAAATGATGTCATCGGAAGACATAACTAATCACGAGGACGAATTGTCACTATGCGCGCGGTGCGGTATGGAATGCTTGTATGCAAGTAGTATCAGTCTTGCTAAGAATTATTAGTATTCAAATTTCATTCTTCCCATTGGTTGCGGCCATACTGCTGCTGCATAAAATGCTTTCGTTTCAGCTACTGTGGTTTTTTTTTTTAATATGCTGATTTTGTTCCTTGTTGGCTCCTCGGAACTGCCTTACTTTACGAGGTATTGCATTTGATTTGAGTCGAAGAGCTTGAATCTGCGGAATCAACGTGGATATGGAGAGTCACAGGTCGTTGGTGTAGGAGTACAGTCCGCCTTCTTGTAGTCAACTTAGTTTGGTGGGATATGGGCTCTTCTACATCAGCAGAGTGATACGACGCCAGTTGTCGTGCTGTTAGTGATCTACTGCATCTTGCACAGAGCAAAAGGAAGTGACCGTCCTCCCTTTGTAGTAGTAATCTTCCGCCTTCCAGGTCCATGTCTTCTACAGGAGTCTTGTACCCTTTGGTAACGATTCCACAGACCACTGATGGCACTCTGATGCACATTTAGTTCTCTCGCAACAGTGGATTCTCTTGCACCAGCTTACAACATCATGACAGTCCACCAACGCATTTCATCGTGTAGATGGTGTCTTCGTGCGGATGGTGCTTTCCGCTTTAATAGTTATCTGGGATTACCCAGAACTATCGCTCCTTGCGAACTGACGCATCAGTCATCCATGATCCTTTTTAAAGCGTTCTAATGTGAGTGATATTTTTTTAAGGATTGCGTTTTATGCTAATTTTGGTTGCCTATTTGCATTCGGCAATGTAAATTCTACCTCACTGGTAAACTTTATATTTTAATTCCCTTTTTTGCATTCGGATCTTTTCCTTTAGCGTTTGTTGCTTAAACTTTTAGCGCGAGTGTAATTTAAATTTGTATATTAGTGACTTTAATTGCTATTATGTTGTCTTTGGGTGGTATATTAAAGGCTTTAATTAATGTTATTGTTGTCTTTGAGGTTAAGACCCAATAACAGCAGCACATAATCCGATTGTTATCCTTTTAGAAAATTTAAATTATTACTATTTGAAATTATTTGTCATTTTCTTTCAGGTGTACCTGTTAGATGCAAGAAATCATGGCGACAGCGAACGGTCAGATGTGTTCAACTTCGATATCAATTCCAATGATTTGGTGCACTTCATGGACACAATGAACATTCCCAAAGCTGTTTTGTTGGGACATAGCATGGGTGGAATAACTGCCATCAAGACAGCTCTTAAAAACGTAACTATTTAAAAAATAATAATAATAATTTTTAATAATTAGAAATTTAAATAATAATTTAAATTTTTTTGAATTTAACAACCTTCTCTATTCGGGAAAAGCAACTTTAAAGTTAATGCAAATTAAAATTATATATATATAATTTTCAAGTTTGGGAAAGGAGGCTGGAGAACGACCGTTTAGTCGTTAGTATGGTGAAACGGGTGCGTGGGCAAAAACACATAACATTTTTAAAGTGAGGAACATAAAAGCCTGCAAGATGTACTGGAACTGAATTGACCAAATTGGAGAACAAGATTTTAAATGCAGCATTAATTTTTCACTAACTGTCATTCCATTTGTCTATGACACGTTAATTCTAAATTCAGAAAACTACGTTTCAAAGATATCATCAAAGATATTTATATATGTTAGTGAAAAATATTAATTTTTCACTAACTGTCATTCCATTTGTCTATGACACGTTAATTCTAAATTCAGAAAACTACGTTTCAAAGATATCATCAAAGATATTTCAAAGATTATGCAGGCATCCAGCCAGCACTTATAGGAGTGAAGATCAGATTTATTGATAGTTAAACAGTACTATATCGGCTGAATAACAAATAAAGTTAAAATATATGGTAATTCCTGTATGGGTTGAAAGCGAATCATTTAAGAAAAGATAGATTATTAAATATTATTTTATTTAATAAGGCGTTAAAATATTTTTCTGTGAAAAATGCAGTATAAAGAAATAAAGTCTTAAAACTTTTAAAGATTTTCTTAAAATAAAATTAAAATTTTTTTTATTAAATACTAGTAATGAAAAGTTATATGAAATCTTTGATGAATGTGAAACATTTGAAACATTCTTACACCACAGTCGGTTTTCATTCTCATGGTCATTTTCTTCACATCTGAATGCTTGAAATTATTTAAAATGGTTTTGTTTCATATATTTCAAATGTTTACATGAGTCCGCATTCGTAATTATCAAAATAACCGTCTGTAGAACATACAAACCATTCATTTGAAGCAGAGCAAAATTATTGCAGGGGATTCATTCATATCTAAATGTGGACAGTTTATTATTCTTTGAAGCAAGTTAATTCAGTTTTAATATTAGGTTAATCAGTATTATCCTACATATTATGCTCTAAATTTACGTGTTTAGTTAGTAAATACGCTTAACATCTGTAAGCTCAATCTGTTCACTATGTATTAGAAATCATTTATCAGTAATATACCATTTACGTATTCTCAGTCTTAGTCTAGCCGTGCCAAAATTATTTTTGTTGTAACAAAGAAAGGGATGAGACAATTCCTGCTAACTTTTGGTAGCCTCCAGAAGTTTCCGCTCTCCTTCACTTCTCACTTGTACATTTGGAAGCTTAACCCTTTCGCTTAACCTTTGTTTTTCGCAGCGTGTAATGTTGTTTTCTTTGCACATACATAACTTTCGTAGTGGATGAATGTAAATGAAATATTAAGTAAAATTATAAGGAAATAAAGCATAATGGAAAAGTAATAATATCTCTGCTTATTTCTCACAGCAGGATTAATTTGATAACATCTGATCCAGGCGGTCCACTCCTCTTATTTTGTTGTTGTAATCTTTTACAATTATTGATTTTTTTACAGTTCTTTTCCGTGTTCCAATATCAATCATCGAGTTATTATGGACTGTACTCATCAAACGTATATCCTTCTTGTCTTTCCAATTCACAACCTCATTTTTTCTCTTTTTCTGCTGAGTAGACGTTGAAGCCATCTCTCACTGTCTTGTATCTTATGTAAAATATTGCGAATATTCATAAAATCCGGGGCAAATTCAATTAGAAATAGAATGCCTGATTAGTGCTGCAATCTAGGAGGTATTAAAACAAAAAAATATATAAAATAAAAATAAAAACTCAAAAAATAAACATTTAGAAAGCGTTTTAAACGTTTAAAAGTTTTAAAATGTAGAAGAACGCTTGAAGAGCGTTACGGCCGCCCTGCGGAAGTTTCACTTGAACGCGCTAGACGCGTTACGGATGACGAAGAGGTTAATATATACTCTGAAATAAGATAAATTTTACTTTAAGGCAAGGAAGGGGATTCATCTTGCAACAAGGCAATGGAAATTCGAACCTCAAATTTTTTAATTTTTTAAACACGCTAAGCCTGCTCTCTACTATTTGTCCTAAACTGGCAAAATATGCGAGAAGGAAATTAATACACAGAGAAAAATATTTTCTTTCAGGTGTACCAGTTATTTATTCTATAAAATGTACTGTATTTATTACCAGTACTGTTAGGGAACCAGTTATTTAGAATTTGCAAAGTAGCGCAATCTACACTGAGCCGAAAAAAAAAAAAAAAAAAAAAAAAAGAGGGACAGTTCTATTTCTCCTGTTCTACTCGGCCGATTAACGAAATTTAACTTGCTTTTTTTATGTCTCAAAAAAGCGACTTATGGTATGTATAGATTTATAAATAAATTTTGGTCCAATATAGGACTTTTTTGTGCTGGACTTTTCTGAAATACTACCAATTTTTTTTTCCATATTTCGATTCTATGACTCAAATTACGCCAAACTACCGAGTTTTTTTGTAATAGTTTTTAAAGAATAGTTTTTAAAAACTTAAGCTCTCAAAATTTTAGCTCCTCAATGTTAATTGAGTTTGGTATTACTCTCTTTTTTATTAAACTTGTTTGATTCTTCCTTTCAACTTTCGAAATTCAGGATCATTCCAAATAAAATTCACCCATTTTTTATGATTTATTTTTTAAATTTGTAAAGAAAATTTAAATTTGTATTTTTAAATAATTTTTATAAATGTTTCCAAAAAATTGGATTATAATCTATGAAAAATTTACCATCACTTTAAAGTAGACACATTTCTAAACATACCTACAAAACATTATAGTATTTTATTCAAAATTTCGGAAGATATACGTGAATTTGTATATTGGCACGATTTGAAATTTGGCATATTTCTTGAAAGCGATAAAACATCAAATGTTGTTTAGACACTTTGCTAAAATTATTTATAAGTAAGAACGATGTGACTTTTACCCCCCTTATGCACAATGTAAAAAGACAGAAACAAGGTGCATTTTTTTCCGCTCCGCCATAATGGAAAGGAAAGGAAAATTGGTTGCTATATATTAAGAAGTTCGGCAAGTGAATTATTCGTGGCGCAAACTGAAAACAATTGCGCAAAAATTTTTGAGTTTCTCTGTAAATTTCGCACCAAATTTTCCAAAATTTAATATCTAGGTATAATTTGAGTCGTAGAATCGAAATATGGAAAAAAAAATTGGTATGTTATTTCAGAAAAAGTCCGATTTCGTGTCAAAATACACACATGTCCATAAATTAAGGATAATGCAAAATCAGGCAAAGGAAGAGTTAGAAGCAAAACAAATTTGACTTATTTGTAAAGCTTATTTATTAAACAAAAGGTAAAGAGCAAAAAAAAAAAGATGCTATATGTTTGATATTTAAAATAAAAATTAGCAATTTTTTCTCCCTGGAGCAAATTACAAAAAAAAAAAAAAAAAAAAAAAGATTTACAAAAAACCAATATTACATGTTTGGTATGATTGTTAATACATTGTATGTCCCCCAGACGATGCAATACAGTCCGTACAACGCCTAGATATGCTGAGTATCAAATTATCGATCTGATCTTGGGGGATATTACATCACTCAATAAGCAATGCTCTCCGAAGTTTCGGTAGACATGTAGGAGGAGGTTGACGGGCTGCAACTCGTCGGCCAAGCATGTCCCACACGTGCTTTACTGGATTCAAGTCCGGTGAGAATGCTGTCCTGTCCATACGGGTGATATCCTCCGATTGAAGGCATTCGCTTACGATGTTTGCACAGTGAGGACGGGCGTTGTCATCCATAAACACAAATTGTGCGCCCATGGCGCCCCGAAACAAACGTACATGTTGTTCCAGAATGACGTCCCGATAGATTTGGCTTGTCATGGTTCCAATTTGAACATGCACCTCAGTTCTGGAAACCAGAATAATTCCACCCCAAACGAGCACTCCTGCACCACCGTAGTGGTGTCGTTCAATGATGTTTTCTTGGTGGTAACGGGTACCTGGAGCTCTCCATATGAAAGTCCGGCGAGAATCAGGCTGCAAGCTAAACCTGGATTCGTCGGAAAACATCACAAAAGACCACTGTTGCGGTGTCCACGATGCATGCTCTCTACTCCAGGCTAACCGCAGGCGACAGTGAGTTGCAGTAAATGGAACGCATCTGACAGGTCTACCAGCATATAGACCAATCTGCCCTAAGCATCTGTACACGGTCTGCCTTGAAATTGCCGGCTGAAGAGAGCTGACGAGATAGGTCTGAGGCTGTGCTCCGCCTGTTTCTTTTGGCAGTAACTGCCAAATACCGGTCCTCATTCGGCGTTGTAACTCTGGGGCGATCTGTGCTGTAACGTCTACTCACCATCATCTTGGAATCGTTGCCAAAGCCTGGAGATGACACTCTGGGCATTTCCAAGTTCGTCTGATACTTCCAGTTGGGTACGCCAACATTCCAGACGGCCGATAATTCTACCACGTAAAAAATCATCCAAATGCGTCCTTTGTGTCATAACTATTCGGTTATTGCACTGAAATGCTTATAAAGCGCCTGCGAACAATTTTACTTCTTTGCCTGTTTTCCTTATATATCACTCTCTTACACTCTCGTCATTGTGAAGTACCATAGGTGTCATCTGGTTACTTCCTGAAATTTGCATATAATTCTTGAAGTTGTGTGTAGTGATTTTACAGGTGATATATTTATTTAAGAGTTCGATTTCCGCGTGACACCGAATTATCCTTAATTTATGGACATGAGTGTACCTATGTTAGAACAACGCTATATATAAATCTAATATATATCCTAAGTCGCGCTTTCGAGACATGAAAAAAAGGTCAAGTTGAATTTTGTCAATCGGCCCAGTAGAAAGGGGAATATAGAACTGTCCCCCTTTTTTCCCCCGCAGTGTGCAATCGCGTAATAATCAGGAACTTATTATAAGACATACAATTTTTCAATCAGTACGTTTGGTTTTCTGTAAGTTTCAAACATTAATAGATAGCATAATAATGCAATTGACCCGTTGCGCATAATTTCATATGTTGTTAGCTTATCTCCAGTCTTTTAAATAAAATATGTAAAGAATGGGATTTGTTGATCTGTATTCTAAACGCTATTCTGTTGCAAATGTCTCACGTTTTTTAAACCTGTGTGATCTTCAGTGAACGTTTATCATAATATTGAGACATGATTTTTTTATAGTAAAATATTTCCATTGTCATGTCTGTAATTTATGCAATCGTATCATTCGAATTCTTCTTATTTATTATTTAAATTCTCCTGGTATATTATTAATGTTTATTTCATGACAACTCTATTGGGGGGGCGTCGAAGCTTGTTCCAGTGATATTCAACATAGAAGAATGGTTTTATAACTCACTAAACATGAAATTTCAGCTGCTTTCCAATGAATCAGATTTCAGGTTAGAAGTGTATTGGAAAAAACGGAATAAAGGTGCAAAGTGAGAAGGTCGTTTTGGAATTATAGTGAACAAAATATAATTTTATTCCTGATCTTGTGTGAAGCTTTACAGTTTCTCGGAAGGTTAATATCGTGAAATTTTAGTACTATTGACAGCTATTGATTAACTAGGGTAATACTGGGAACAACGTCCATGGTTAACTTAATCGCAGTTAATCGGAGAATATTGAAATGAACGTAGAAAAAGAAATGTCTCATATTATAATTAACGGAAATACTTCTTTTAACAATTCATGTACACTTTCGATCTGTTTAATATGAAAAAAGAATTCATTTGATTGCTTAAATTAAATCAGTATTCCAAACGAAATGAACACACAGTATATAAAGGTATATTGGAAAAAACTAAGTTGTAAATGACATAATCATAATATTAACAAAAGAATTTGAGCAATGTCATTGAGTTTAAACTCCCGTTAAAAATACCAGATGAAACTGTTTTTTATTGTAAAATGTTTATATATTTCGAACTAGGTATAATTAAATTATGAAGTTGTGAATACGGTTGTGGACAAAAACGGTTCCCAAACACTATGGCATTATCTGCTTTCACTGTTGTTACCTCGAACATATTTCTCTTTCTGTTTCCGATATATAGTTTTAGTTTACGATGAAGGTCTGAGACAGCAATTTTTTTATCGTTTTGCAATAAACGGATTTATCCTGCTTTTTAGACAGAGTTTGTCTAATACTCCACCATGTAAGTCCGTCTTGGTTGATCGAGAGTTACCTGTGTGTTACATAAAGATATGAAGTTTCACAGTTCAGGATAAATACACGACGAAAACTGTGTAAAACTGTGATTATCTCAGAATTTTGTATTTGTTTATCTCCTACTTTTATTGTTGTAATATATGCAACATCAATTTCAGAAAGAAAGAGTTGAGATGATCATTGTAGAAGATATGACAGTAAGAAAAGTGTCCAAACCTATAATGGATGTCGTAATTAAGTACATATCTCTGGGACAACAAGCTATTGAGCAAATGCCAACAGATGTAGATGAAAACGGTGCTAAGAAATTCATTCTTGAGTTCCTTTACAAGCACTTAGCCGCAGAAATGGTAATTCATTTATCTTGCAAGCAGTTGCTTAAAATGGTCATTTTACTTTCGCAATTAAAATCAAATTAATTCTAAGTTGCGTAATTTACAAATAGCATCTGATGAATTAAATAAGTATGTATTTTTCTATTGTAGAAAGATTTGTTAAAAAGACGTGGCAATGTTGACCCTCAAATTATTGCTCTCAAACGCAATCCAAATGGCCGCTATGATTTTAAAGCCAACATTAAAGTAATATTGAATGCAGTGAAGAATGAAGAGACTTTAATGTCTGAACCTACTGGCGTTTATGATGGTCCGGCTCTCTTCATTTACGGAAAATTTTCTCCTTTCTTGGTGTAAGTATTTCTTTTCTTCAATCAATAAAGACAAAGCTATCAGCATATTACACCTCTTCCTTAAACAAATTATCTAAGAAATATTAGAAGATAAAGAAGTTCTTCGTTATTTATAATGGTATTTGTTAGATGGTGTTAGTGTAAAGTATAAAGTACATTATAACATATAGGACGTCAGTATAATTAAGTTACAGAAGGGATGCTCAAACTAAAAGTTTACTTCCAGAAGAAAGAGATTTTTTAAAAACACTATACATTTTAATTATTAGAAATTTTAAATAAACAATGGATGTTTGATATTCTGTGTATTCCATTTATAAATATATAATTGCCTGTTCATTGCATCTTAACGATAATATCATGCTCACCTCTTTTCTGTAAACGTTTTTGTAACCTAGGCTTGAGGTTCTCCATTGCGCGCTGTATCAGGACGTGGGGTATTGTCATCACTTCCTAACGAACATTAATTTGAAGTTTATTGCATGTTTGAGGTCTGTCGAGAGGCAATGCTTTTTTTCAAGCGATCTCAAAGGAAATAATAACTGAGAGAAAGGCTAGGAAATTGAGGAAGCCATGACAAACTACCAGCTCGAGCTATGACGTAGCAGAGGAACATTTCACCACCTCCATAAACGCTACGGACGATCTGCTTTTGTTGAAACCATATTGGCGTATATTAATGTCACGTCTACTTAATTCTGGTAACAGGAAGCCTCGTAGTATTAAGACATAGAGATCAGAAGTCACAATTACAACTTGTGCACCTTCCTCAAAGACTTATGGGTCTATGTTTCCAAACCTTACACCACTGCGCTACATTGTAATATATCTTATTTAAAATGCCAAAAATCCTCAGTTGTCTTGGGTGATACTCGACTACTATCGAAAGTTTTATTTATTCACTTAACCGGAAACTAAGCAAGGTTCCGGCACATTTTCTGTAAAAGCAAAAAAGAGAATTTCTGTCACTTTGTTTTCCTATTCACGTTCTTTTAAATTATTAAATAACTATAATCTCATAAGAATAAATATGAAAGTACCAAACTACCATCTAAGAAACTTGGCTTGGTATTGAGTCTCGATCCACAGCCAGGAAAATCTCGAATCTGTGTCTGCCTCACAGTCTCAATGTTTTCTAGTACTGCTGTTGTTTCAAAAGGACTGATACATGCAACTTAATTCATTCGTAGACAATAGCCATCATTCATCACTCATTTAACTCGAATGTTTCCTGACGTTCGCGCAATCCTTTCATTTTTGGCGGATACTTAATTCTGGTGGGTACTGCGTTGGTACTTAAATTTTACGTACATCTTCAGGAATGTCAAACATTCCTTTGTAGAATAGAATTGCTACAAAATGATATTTATTCCTATACACAGTTTAGCCCTACTAATTCCAACTTTGTCATGTTCTTCTGAGGCACTTTAATTTTAATTTTCTGTGTCTTAAACTCGTGGACTTTGAACATTTTAAAAGCGACTAATTGCAAAGCAATTTTTTTTTATTTAGAAATAGCATTTTCATTTAATCACCCCATTAAGATTCCTGAGAACGTTACGAAGCTTGACAGCAAAATATTGAATTTTTGCTTATAAAATATGCTAAAGCAAATTTTAAAAAAATACATTCTTTGTCAAATAAATCACGAATAATACGAAAAATCACAAATAAATACGAAACCTTTTATCTTTTTCAGAGGAGCCGATGAACCATACACAAAGAACTTTTTCCCAAACGCTGAATTCGAGCCAATCGAAGAAGCAGCCCATGGTGTGCACATAGATTGTCCTCAGGAATTCACAGCTGCAGTTTTGAAATTCTTTTCCCGAGCCTGATGTTGAATAAGAATCGAAAGCTGAATTTTTGCTATACATTGGAAGCATTACCTCATATTTCAGAGCTTAAAAGTGCCTTGTAGAAAATTGTATAACTGATTCTTAATGTAATAAATATGATTTAATATAATGTGAGTTCTATTCTGTATAAAAGAAAATGAAAACCTTTCTTTTTTAGGAAATTGTCTTACAAGCCAAGTAGTGAGGAGTATAGTATATATTACGAAGGAATAATTAAATACGTTGTTCTTTTCAATACACTTACATTTTCTTTGTCTAAATTTGAACAATTTTCCCCAATTCCTTTTATGTTTGATATTTTTATATGTATACGAAATCAGTTTACTGTATGGGCTATGAAAATAACCGTCGATTTATTGCTTCAGATGAAATATGGTTAAAAAATTATTAAATGCTTCGTCAGCGTTCTCTGATTCAGAATTTTTCCTTTTTGATATGCACAGAAGGTACTCGATATCGCTAATTTCCTTCTTAGTTTGTTTTCTGGTCGCTTTCGTGATTTATGGTAATCTTGATTTATGGTAAATCATATCTGTAACATGAAATCTCTTTCTAGGTCTTCTAAATGATGATAAACTCGTAGTGATCTTTGATATGACTCTTTCTTCTTGTATCCTTTGTAGGGTTTATATTTATTTTAACTAACATTTATTTTAAGTTTAAACTATCTTTCCTGTCAAGCCTTACTTTCCCCTGGAACTGCCAATGCCAGAATATGTAAATTTTAGTAGAACGCGCAAGGATTCAAATTATCAGCGGAAGTATTATGATTTAAATAGAAGGAAACGAGTTCGGTGTGTGATATTCTTACTTCACGAGCGCGGAGGTAGTTAGCGAGAAATTGAAGAACCCCGCGTTTCGGCCTATGTGCTTGGCGGGAAGTAGTGTTAATCGTTCAAGTGAGCTTCAAGTCTGCTGAATTAGCAGCGGTATTGTAAAACGCGGTGAGTTAGTTATTTTTAGAGAGCCTCGTAGTTAGAGTCTTGTCTTTAGTTTCTTTTCAGGTTATTATTTTTATTTGACCGCCGAGTTGGCGCAGTCTGTGAGCGTCAAGAGCACGCAATTGTAATTTATTACGTTGAATAAAAAGGGACTTAAACCCTTCACAAGACTCTGTCTTTTATCCAGTTTTCACAGTCACCTCTTGGTTGCGTGCAAGTTGGAGGCGCGCAACGTTACATTGGCGCCCGAACACTTATCGAACTGAAATGGCCGAAAATTGGATGGAAGCCGCTGGACAACACCAAGAAATGACAACCAGTTAGAAGGATTTGGATACCTGGTCCAGACTTTGAGAGCGTCAATCAAGCCAAACGTCCATTTCGACGGAAAAAATTCGGTGGCGGTATTTCTAGAAGGTCTAGAAAACCACTTTCAGCTCTACCCTGTGCCTGAAAGACAAAAAGTTGCCATCGCCACATCAGCACTAAGAGGACAGGCCGCGCTATGGTGGAAAAATATAGGTAAATTTTTATTAGGGGAATTTGGAAGCCCGACATATATATTTGAAAATTTCAAAAAATCGTTAGTAAAGGCCTTCCCCATAGTGAAAGATCGCGCACGGCTGGAAGCCGAACTATATAGTTTCTATCAACGGGATACAGCAGAATTGACGGACTTTATTTTACGAAAAATCAAGCTAACGGATATGCTGTATGGGAAGAAACCCGATGCGGAGATTATTGAAATAATATTACCAAGATTGTTACCCGCTGTTCAAGACTACTTTGAAATTAGAAACCCAAGCACATTGCAGGAACTCTTCGAATTGGCGGTGAAGTTTCAAAATCGCAGAATAGCGGAAAAAGCGAGAGGGGAAACATATTCTCAAAGTACCCGAAGGAAGGAGGAAACCAGAAATGGAAATCGCTCTTATGGGGGAAAGAACTATCAAGCTAACGCATCGAAACTCGAAGGTCAAGGCCCAAAAAGAAAATTTGAAAATAAACATCCGCGTACCCAGAAGACACAGATTGAAAGGAAAGCTTTAAACGAGTAGAGGGGCCTGTGAAAGGGAGGGTCCAGACCCCGGAAGTTTTAAAAAAACCCTCAAATAGACATTTAAATACGGTCATCGTAAAAAAACTCACAGCTACCAATTATACAAGTCCTGGTTGGCGATGTACCAGTAGAAGCCCTCATCGATACAGGAGCAGAAGAAGGAAATTTTATGAGTGAAAATTTCTTCAAAAAGAATTTTTATAGGATACGATTATTTAAAACCAAAAATACGGAAATTATAGCGGCGCAAGGAAAAACATGTCACTGCATCGGGAAATTATCATTAAACTTACAGGTAAAAGAGGAAAATCTCAAAGTATTAATTTTTGTGGTGAAAAACCTGCAACACTCTCTTATTTTAGGTATGGACTTTTTAAGGGCCGCGAGGGCCAAATTAAATTTTCAAGATAGTTCCGTGGTGTTGGAGATGGACCAGAGGGTGGTGGAACCTGTGGAGACACCTGCAATTGGACCTTAGCCATCTGAATGACCATGAAAGTAAAGCAATACAGCAAGTGGTGAGTAATTTTTCTCATTTGTTTTCAGAAAAACCAGGAAACTGCCAAATAGTGACTCACAAGATTCAATTAAATGCCGAAAAACGAAAAACCTTGTAGGACTAAACCTTATCGTTATGACAAACAAAAAGACGTAATCATCGAAGAACATATTCAGGAGATGTTAAAGAATAAAATAATAACGCCCATAAATAGTGAGTACGCGAGTCCAGTCGTACTATGTAGGAAAAAGAACGAGTTTCCTCCTTCGGATAAAAGGGCTTGGAGGTTTGCTATTGATTACAGAAAACTAAATAGTATTACTAAATTTCCAGTTTACCCTTTGCCGGTTATAGACGAGATCATTAGACAGATCAAATCGACAAGATATATGTCTACTTTGGACTTAACGTCTGGCTACTATCAAATAGCTATGAGACCCGAAGATATACATAAAACCGCGTTTATAACAAAATCGGGCACTTATGCATTTTTACGCATGCCCTTTGGGTTGTGTGGGGCCCCATCAACATTCCAGAGAGCTATGGACATTGTTCTAAAGCCTGTCCTAGGAAAATCAACTTTAATTTATCTAGATGATATAATTATAACGAGTAGTACGTTGGAACAACACATTAATGATCTCGAACAAGTTTTTAAATTATTAAAAGAGGCCGGTCTTACAATTAACGCCTCAAAATGCAAGTTCGCAACTAAAGAACTTAAATATCTCGGTTATAAAATTTCGCAAAAGGGTATAGAAACGCAAGATTCAAAAATAAAAGCTATTAAGAATTTCCCACCGCCCAACACCGCCAAGAAACTTTCTTCTTTCCTTGGGTTATGTTCTTACTATCGATCTTTCATAAAAGATTTCGCTAATATTGTTGAACCACTCTTAGTAATCAAAAGAAAAAGGGGTAAATTTACGTGGACAGCGGAAGCTAACACAGCTTTTGAAAGATTAAAAGAAGCGCTTATTAATGCCCCTGTTTTAAAATTCCCGGAGGGGGACGAAAACCTGGAAATTGCAGCAGATGCGTCAGACTATGCGGTGGGTGCGGTTCTTATGCAAAATAACCATCCGCTGGCATTTTTTAGTAAAACATTGAATCAGACACAAAGGAATTATACAGCTACAGAAAGAGAAACATTAGCCGTATTAATGGCTGTACACAAATTTCGAGTTTATTTCGGCAAATCGCCAGTAACAGTCTTTTCGGATCATGCGGCTGTTGGTAGACTTTACTCGGGAAAAAACCTAACGCCCAGGTTAATAAGATGGGCTTTAAAACTCCAAGAATATAATATCACAATAAAATATAAACCGGGTAAGGAAAACAATGTAGCTGACGCACTTTCTCGTATAAAACTGGACGATGAAAGAAATGAACTTAAATGCGCTGTGTTGACTTCAAAAATTTTAGATTCTAGAGATACGGTTATTACTGAACTGAAAGCTGATCCTGAATTTGGAAATATCTATGCTTATTTGAAAGACCCCGAAAGCTTTGAGCACACAGATATCGATGCGATAAGAAATAGAGCAAAAAACTATGAAATAATAGATAATTTATTATTCTATACGAAAACAACAAACGAAAATCTTGAGTATAAGCCAGTCATCCCAGCCTCGCTTCGATTAAGCATTTTGAAGGAGTTGCACGAAGCAAAAAACAGCGGGCCACCTCGGGGTCAGAAAGACTTTAAAAAGGGTACGCGAGGCGGTATATTTCCCGCAATTATACAAAATAGTAACGGCGTATGTCAGGTCCTGCAATCAATGTCAGTTAATAAATGATATTAATTACAGCCCGGCCGGGTACTTAAATAGCATTCGCGCTACATTTCCGAATGAAATTTTAGGCATAGATCTTCCTTGGTCCCTTCCCCCAGAGCGAGTTAAATAAAAATCGTTTTCTTTTAGTAATAGTAGATCATTTTTCAAAATGGATAGAAATTGTTCCACTTAAACGCGCGTCAGCCAAAACAGTCGCAGATGCATTCTTACACAGATACATTTTAAAATACGGTGCACCGATAAAAGTCATTAGCGATAACGGAAAACAATTCATTAGTCAAATATTTGAAAACATATGCAATGGACTTGGCATACGCCATATCAAAATGGTTCCGTATAGACCACAGGCTAACATAGCAGAAAGAGTTAATAAAAAATATAGTAAAAATAATTCGCAGTTACGTGAGCACACATCACAAGCGCTGGGATGGCTACATAAATGAATTAGCTTATGCTTTAAGAACGGCACATCATGATACTACGGGAAAAAACTCCAGCAGAATTATTTTTAGGCAGAAAGTTAATTACGCCTTTAGATAAATTATTCTTTGTGCAACAAAGAGAGCAGGAGTTTAAACAAAAGATGTGCAAAAGTTGATTGATCAGGCGCTTAAAACCTCGGATACGGCAAGAAATAGGCAGAAAATTATATTATGATAGAAAACGCCGTGAAGCAGATTTTAAAGTTGGGGATAAAGTATTGAAGCGGAAATTTTCTTTATCAAGTGCCCCAGACAATTTTATGGCAAAGCTAGCTCCAAAGTTTGAAGGCCCCTATGTAATTCAGGAAATCAAAGGAGTAGTATTATA